GCTACCCCGTGTCATACAAACACCTGCGGAACAGCTCCGACAAAATGCTAGTCGCGCAGAAGCAAGGGGCGCTTGAATACATGCTCAGACACAGAAAAAACAGGCTGCTGCAGGTGTGAGAAACGCTGCAGTTCAAGGCACATTCAACGGTGTGCACATTTCGTATGGTTCCTAAATGTCTTAACCTTACCTTGTATAACAGTCCGATGGGCTGCTATCGCATTCATTGCTTTGGTCTTGTGCCGAAACTGTGACTTTTCTCCAAGTGTGCATTTTTTTGTGTGTGTGTGAATTTTCTAAGAATGAAGTTCATGTTTGTTTTGTTTGTGTTCAGTATAACCCCGTTCGAAAAACTCAACAGAGCTTAAACATCGCCAATTTCTAAAGCCCTTCGTGGGAGTTGCTACACCAATATGACCACATCGTCCACGAGCTCCTTCAAAAGGTTAACACCAACCAAATTGTCTTGGTTGGGGATATCAATGCTCCACATGCGGCCTGGGACTACTACAGCGCCACCAAGAAGGGGACGCACACACGATGCTGCACAGCAACACAGTTTGACGCTGTGGAATGACTTGCTCCAACCAACCTGATTGGGCAACAGCATGTCGAGGGATACTAATCCTGATCTCACATTCACTTGAGACGTGCACAATGCAACGTGGACAAGACTCCCGGATACTCTAGGGAGTGACCATCACATCATTCAAATAAAGGTCAAACAGGCAAACCACTAGCTCAAGACAGAAAAGGCTCGGCTCACGAACTCGACCACCTAAAGGAGTAACCTTGATGATGACGCGACTATCGAAGACATTGAATCCTGGTTAAATAGTATTGTAAGTGTTGCTGATGACTATAACAAAATGATACACTAGAATGAGGACAATCCGGCAGTCGAAAAACACATCTTTTACCTATGAAAAGCTTGAAGATCGTTTATCAAGCAATGACAACGGCAAAAGCTCAACTGCAAGCTCAAGCGCTGCATTCCCATACTCATCAAGCAGGCACAGGAGTACGCTGAAAACCTTGCGAGCCAGAACTAGTGGTCCTTCAGCGACCAACTTCAAGGAACACTGAGCACAAAGAAGACTTGGCACATTCTTCAAGCCCTGATCTACGACACCCACACCAAAACTAATAAATTCAGCAGCTCATCCACAACTATGAGGGCACAAAGCACCAACTACTCCAAGAACTTCAAACGAAGCTGGGTGGCTCAGTTAACCTGCAACCTTCTTCCATCAGCACTCCAATGTCCAGGGAGTACCAAGGAGCACCAAACGAAGCGCTAGATGGGCCTCTCACGCAAGCAGAGCTACACGTGGCCCTCGGTAGGCTTACGTGCAATAAGAGCCCAAGAAAAGACAGTGACCAACAAGCAATTACGACAGCTACCCCTTTGGGCGTTGACGGTGCTTCTTCGACACTACAATGACTGCTGGATGAAGGGTGAGCTACCACAAGCCTGGAACATTCAAAGGTGACCATGGTACCCAACCCAAACAAGCCAACCTTGATTGTAAATCTTTACCACATTTCCCTTATGTCTTGTGCTGGGAAACTCTTTGAGCACATGGTAAACGAGTGGCTCGCCATAAATCTTGAACAGAACGGTTACTACCCAAACACCATGTTTGATTTCCGCCAAATGCTCAGCACACAAGACATCCTCTTGCAGATGAAGAAATATATTCTTCTACGCTTGAGCAAGTGCAGCAGGTCGTCTGTTCTAGCTCTGGGCGGAAAGGGCACATTTGACAATGTAAGCCACGAAGCCATTCTGCGTAACCTTGAAGATATCGGCAGCGGCACTAAAACATACGCTTACATGCTGGCTTTCCTTGTCAATTACACAGACATGGTAGGTATTGCCAATATCCAGAGTGAGCTTTTTCAACTGCCTAACAAAGGTACGTCGCAAGGCTCATTGATCTCACCACTGCTTTTCAATGTGACCCTCCTCAAGCTTCCACGTTTCTTGGACATCATTCCTGAGATACAACACGTGTTATACGCCAAGGATATCACAATGTCGACAAGAGCCACTAGCACGGGTGAACGGGAGGACTGCCTTTGGGAGGTGGTTAACACCACTGAACAATATCTCCAGACCTGCGGCCTCCAATGTGCTCCAGAATATACATAAGCATATACATATACATAAAGATTGGTCTGTCTCCGCTGCAATACCCCAGCTGCATCACACTGTGACACAGCTCAATCACTTAATCCAAAGGGTGGCTAATCGCTTCAGTGGCTTTAAAGAGCATGACACTCTAGAAATGGTACAAGCCCTCCTTTACAGCCACGTAATGTATGAAACTCCCTACCTGAACCTGAAGACAGCGGAAAAACAAAAACTAAATCTGCTGATACGAAAGACTACAAAGCTTGCCCTAGGACTGCCCCTAGTGGCCTGCACTGGCTTCGCATGGGAGTTCACAATACGTTGGAAGAACTCGCCACAGCACACCTCATCAGCCAGGCCGAGAGACTCAAGCTGTCACGGACACAGCGAGCCGCCCTTTGACAGACAGGGTACGAAACCACCCTAGAACCCGACAAAGAACGCAAAGGCAAAAGACTGTTACAGCTTCAAGAATGCCTTGAAGTTCAGCAGGTCCCTCACAACATGCATCCTCAACATCACCAAGAACGGCGGCTCACCAGGGTTAACATGATCAGGAATAACCATCGGACCCGAAGGCACAATATGTGAATGCAGCCAAGTATCAGGGCGGTAACTCCTTCGCAATTACCATCACAGATTACGAGGACACGGCACTGGCGTCAGTGACCATCCTCGTCAAACGTACGGACACAGTTGAAGAGGCTGCCATAGTATTCGACGTCCAGGCGAGCGAGGATTCCATTGTGGTCTTCACCGACACACAAACAGCGGCACAGAACTACCTGAAAGGCAGGGTTTCCATGGTGGCTATTAAGGCACTAAAACACAAGGACACTCCTCCCCCCCTACACATGCATCGTGTGGGTTCCCTGTCACGAAGGTCTCGAGGGAAATGAAGCGGCACACACAGCGGTCCGGAAATGCGTCAACTGGACATCCGCGTACGAGATCCAAGGCACCTCCCACTCAACAACACAAGCAGAAGCACGAGAATGCATACCGTCAACGTACTATGCATTACAGCAACATTATCGACTCGTACGCAGGTAGTACCGTCCCCCACATCCAAAGCTCACAAGAAACAAAGGCTCTGGCACCTTCAAAGCAACATGTTCACCCACAGCGTACAATTGCACCATATGAGAAGAACGCTGCATAGCTACATCTGCCCTCACTACAATGTTGCAGACACTTTGGCGCACCTCCTACTGCAATGCAAAGTAAGCGTCCCATCCCATGGCTACAAGCAGCAGAAACAGATGCAGACCCAGACCTACTGAATGAATCTTGGGAGGCTGAAATCTCCCAAACAGGACCCGGTCGACCAGTGTCAACTCGTTGCTCAATTCAGACAGGTGGTCCAGGCCGGAGGGTTCCTCGAATAAGGGACCCTCCCACCTTAACTCACATGCTTTGCCCAAGAAATGTCTTCTCTCTCTCACTATAGTTCTTTTCACACATTTAGACAAGCAAACCAGGCACCAGCCCACGCATAACAATGAAGTTGTCCCATGATTACTTCGAAAAAGTGTTGCAGGGCCTCCACAATACACAGCTGTGATAGCACCATTGGCATTTCCCGGACCACCGCTGTGCGCTCGTGTGCTGATCCCAACAGTGGTGGAGTCCGCATGTCTTCCTTTGGACAGTGTTGCTACATATTCCTGAAACTTTTGCACAGTAATGGCCCTAAAAGAAGACTACTTCAGGAACACGAAATAAAGGTGTCAGACTGAAAACAAATGTGGAGAATCCGTGTTACAACACTGAGCAAAACATATAGAAGACAAAGAGGCGTCCCATGAGCAGGTAGGTATTTGTCCTGCAAAGAAGAAAATGACATCAGTATCAATGTGAAAAATATTCTAGGCATGACCTTAGCCCCGTCATGACTTCGTGATGGAGCAAACAGTTAAAAGGATTAAGATCAGTAGCACAATCATGGCCACACAAAAGAACAAGGTCATCTTGCCACTTCTCTGAGTCAAACAGGCATCAGTGATGCTGAAAGACAAATGGGTGAAACAACGAAGTGGGTAATCAGCTGTGGGTAAACAGTTCTTGCTTTAACTTTTCATTTCTCAGAAACAAATGACAGAATGGATAATGAATGACAAAAATACTGAAATATTAAAGAAGCAAGCTAAAATTTGCCCATTCACCGGTTAACCAGGCAAAACTCTGTTGCCCTTTGCGTACTTCCATTGACAATACAAGTTATTGATAACCACGTCAAAATGAGCAAAAAAATTTTGTAAAAGAACTCAACTCTGATTTGCTTTGAATATTCGACCATTGGTGAATTTATACATTTGTATTATGCGTGTGACATGCTGTCAGCCGCAGTATCGGAACAAACTGCACATTGGTAGGAGACGCGAACTCGATTGACGACAGTGAATGAAGGAAAAAGCATTAAGGTTGTACTTAAACTTCGTAACCCTATCAGTCAGAAGTCTTGAACAAAAGGGTGCGCAGTTGCGGAACACATACGAATAAACCTTCATTAAATGTTGCTACTTGCATCACACAGTACAAGCTCCTTGAACGTGATCCCAAATTCATAATCATTCATAACGAAGGGAGCTGACGCCCTGGCACCAAACACGAAATGAAAGCGAGTCGAATTACCAAGCACGACAGTGTCATCAGATGTCACTGCCGTGCTTGTCATGACGGCACAACCGTGTCACATTTCAAGTCAGCCAGACAGCGCATGGAATCAAGCATACAAACCTAAAGCGCGAAGACTTCAGGTGATGGCAATCAACGTTTTTCGCGGAGAACCCACGCTAGGCGATGATCACTGCGATATCATACGGCGTTTTGACAGAGCGCGGCTAAATCAGAGAGGAGTTACCTTGTTTCCGTAGCCATCCACACGTCCCCGCTGCTCGCACGAAGTCAAACAGCACTCGAGCATGGTTTATGCATTAAAAACCGCCTGGCTTCGTTAAAAATTTGCATTGGCTTCGACGGGGCATTGGTCGGAGAAGCACACGCGAGCGACAGGACGCGGCCACAGACGCGGCGCGGCAGCAAAACAAAAGTCACATGGAGCTATATAGACAAATAGTAAAACAAGGAGAAGGTCATGAATGTCCGATTCAGTTTAGCACATGGCACCCTAGCGGACATTGTTTTGGACGTTGAGGGGGTTGAGGACAACGTGTGTGAGTTCTACGCAACAACTTATTTTTATTAAGGCGAAAGCCTTAAGTGCCTCAAAAACACGGAAGCTGACCATCGACGCCGTGGACATGAACAAGGTTTAAAAAATTATAGCTTAGAAGGTTGCTGACACAAAAACTACAGTGTCTAGAAATATACTGCCAAGTGTGCTGATCGCGCGCATTCCGAACGAGAGTGGGTGGCCGCGCATGTGATGACTGCACTCAGATGCCACAAGCGACGCTGCGTGTCGAGAGGGTGCACGAACGCGCGAAATTCCTCTCGTCCTTTTGCTGCCGGAGCCTCGCCACGTTCAAAATCAGTGTGTGACAGCTGCCATCTGATTTACTGTGAAGTTCGACGGCGGCATATGTACACTGCAACACTCTGAGATGTTAAAAGCTAAGCGGCAATGCAAAGAAAGGACGTGTATTGTGCCGCTGTGTCAAAGAAGTTGTCGGTCAAACAAGGAAAAGGTGTCTTGTTCCCCGCACTAACGGATCCAGCACGGTTTCCTGAATGAAAAAGCAGGATCAAGAGGGCAGACAGAAGGCTGAATCCGAAGGCTGTCGTGTGAGAAAAGCATTATGAGAGTGACTCCACCAAACTATCTTTTCGGATTAGGGTGAACGGTGTCAGGAATGAAATCGCCGTATAGGAAAAATTTCAAATATTAATATTTATCTAAAAAAATGAAAATACCCTTTCGAATTTCATTCAAACAGTTTTTCTCCCATGTCAACGTCTGACTCCCTTTCCAACAACGTTTTGAGTATCATATGCGGCGAGTGTCAGATTATTCATTGGCATGTTATCATTATTTGTTTTCACTCGAATCCTAATGGAATGCAGGCTAAGAGGTAAAGGTTTTAGGGTCTTCTGTGATAATTCTTGCTCTCAAGAACAAAGCACATTTTAAAAAATAACTCTGGAGTCTATACTGTAATGGTTTTTAAAATTAATTTCTTTGCGTACTGCAACCACTTTGAGCATCTATCTATCTATCTATCTATCTATCTATCTATCTATCTATCTATCTATCTATCTATCTATCTATCTATCTATCTATCGATCTATCTATCTATCTATCTATCTGTCCGTCCGTTCATCTGTCCATCCGTCTGTCCATCTGTCTGCCTGTCCGTCCGTCCATTCGTCTGTCTGTCCGTCCGTCTGTCCATCCGTCCATCTGTCTGTCTGTTTGTCTATCTGTCCGTCCATCCGTATATCTATCTATCTATCTATCTATCTATCTATCTATCTATCTATCTATCTATCTATCTATCTATCTATCTATCTATCTATCTATCGAATCGCCTACGTCCGGGTGCCCTCAAGATCACCCCCTTAACTTAGGGTCTTGGAAATACTTTGCAAGAAGAGTCAAATGTTCGTGAAACGCCAAAGCTGGTTCCAGCGTTGACTATCCAATTTCTAGCGTATTTTTAGCGCCACTTCATAATGTTTCTCTTAATAAAAAAGTACAACAGAGTCACCTTGCATAGCATTGATTCGCAAGTTACGTGGGATCTGCGTCCTTTTTTTTTTTTTTTTTGCGGGCAGTAGTGGATGGCGAAATGTATGCCACGAAATGATCTTCATTTGGTATTGCAAAGCGCGAGTACTGTGAAAGCAATCGAGTAGTTCCTGTACAATAAAGCATTATGTAAAAGAACCCTCCGAAAATTCAGAAAAATAATAGTTGGCCTCGCCTGGCTCGGCCTCCTGCAGGCTTCGTAGCGCTTGCGGAGCGCAAGGGTTGAACGCAGATGCACTCACTCGCACAGCAGCGCACATGCGGGCGCCGCTGCCAGTCATCAGTTGCGGGGCCATCTCCTAGCCCGCGCTCAGCACACTAGGCAGTATATTTCTAGACACTGTACAAAAACGTTGGCCTCGCACTTTTTTTGCCACAATATGTCGCTGGTGGCCTACTAGTCATCACAAGAAACATTGTTTGCTGCAGCGCTTGCCAGATAATTAATTACAAACTCCTCGTTCTTGTTTAACTGTGGTTTACTTATTTATTGTTTCGGTTCAAAAGAGCTTCAAAAATGACAATGTTCGTAAGTTGAAGAACTTCCCGCGTCAACTAATCTGTGACGCGGTCACACGGCGTCGGGACAGCTTTCGGTTTAGTGGCACTGTCAGTGCAACAAGCTTTCGCTAGCAGACAAAAACGCGTAGTTGCCGTGGCAAGACGCTGGAGCGGCCGTTCAGAAAGAGCTTTGGCAACAGTATAATATCGGTAGTTTTCATTGTGCTGCCACAGCAACGTAATACTGTGTAATCTTTAGCGGTGCAAAGCAAATACAGTATAAATAATCGTGGCTTTCTGAACTGCCAAGGATAAACGGTGCTTGATAGCATAACATAGACGAGTATGTCCATTAGTTGCTAGTTGGGATTCATTCGCAATTTATCTTTAGGCGCGAAAACACTATCACACAATGTCCCGTGTCCTCTCTTCTGATTGTGTTTTCTAGCTTTAAAAACAATTGTACATATGTGGCGCAATATCTCGTGACATAATGCACTTTCACTTTTTTGAAAGAGCTTCACTCCTTATAGCACTTGTCTCCTTGCGATGGCAGAATCGCCGTGTGTACTGGGGAAAAAAAAAGTTACGTTTATTTGCACATGCAACGCAGTGAAACAAATTTTCAAGTATTATATTTACATGTGTGATGCGCACAGACTGCACAATACTTAAGAGTCTCAGGCAATACCTTGTAAATTCATTTGTAACTCTTGAAAAATTATTAACCATTGACTTCATGAATGGCAATGTACACAAGTCATGACTTCTTCCTATACCTGCTTCTACTTGCTCACCAACATGGTTCTGCTCACTAAAGGGCAGCTTTCGCTTCTTTGTCGTGGACATTGAAATTGGTAAGCGGGCAAATTCGGGAATACTAACTTTGGAACGCTTCATTCGACGAGGTCCAACTTTCCCCAGGCGATTTGTAGCTTCATACCATCGATGACGCGAGTCAAAGTCTTCATGATGTCTTCCTCGGGAAAGTGCATATTACACGCTCATGATGTGTTGGACAGTTTCTTATACGCACGTGAAATAACGTGATCCCAAGCCCTTCGCTGCTTAGGTCACGTGGGGCAAACAAAAAAAATGTCGTGGTGTGTCTGATTTCCTGTAGCCACTCGTACAGCTGGGGATGCAGCATGTTGGCATGATGAAGACACGCAACACATACAGATCACAATAGGGCACGGTGAAGCGCAAAACTATTCATGCAGAAAGCAGCCTCCACGAATAGTGACGTGACGCGCAGCAACATTCCCAGCCAGGGAAGGTAACGGGAGTGACAGGAGCGAGCATGTGGTGGGTGATCCGGGTGCGACAGCAGCGCTATATTTGTCGCTGACAGCGGCGGCGCCGTGCAACAACGCTCAGTTTTGCAACTTACCTAGTTCTAGACAGTCTGGTTCTAGAAACGTTGCGCCACGTCTACCTAGCGTGGGCAGCTGTCGACTATGTCAGCACATAGCACTGTGAGGCTGTGCAACACTTCTGCACGGTCCGCATCAAGAGGTCCTCTCGAATAATAAACGGGACTGCAGTGTCACCAAGTGCAAAACTTTCTGTGCGTGCGCGGCGGCTACGCACTCATGACAAGCTCCGAGAAGTATAGACCGGGAACAAACGCGACAAAAAACAATGCGGCTATGATATGTCATCATAACTTGTTTCATTGACTGCAGCATGGGGACGTGAGGGAAGGCGACCCCCATATTTTTTGATGGTGTCAGTAGCTTCAGAATTGGAACTTCAGAAGTGCTCAAAAATACCTTAGAAGCTATCTCCGCTCTTGATATTTTAAAAATGATATAGGCATGTTCAAGCGAATCCATGTCCCACTAGGCTATCTCGGCCCAGAAATTTTGCGTCAGTACCCTTTTAATATGGCCAAAATGTGACGTCTTGAGGACGTCACAGACTGTCATATTTTGTTATGACGTCATTACATGACTTATTACGCACTTGCACGGTCTTCCCTTCCACCGAGGTCACTTGGTGAAATGTGGGCCAATCACGGATGCAGCGCAAAGGTCAGGGTGGCTTATAGAATGGGGAGATGTGAAAAGTGTCCGCGGAAATCGGTTCACCAAGTATGCCTCAAGGAGCGCTGTACGCAGGAGCGCGTTAACAAATAAAAAGGTCACCCAGGGGATTTCCCCGGGGGAGTACAATACCAAAATAAGTGCAACCGAGGAAGCAGTAGTGCGTGAAACTTTGAATTAAAAAAGGGCCGATGGAAATAATCCTAAGCGCATTAGTCCGGGCTTAGATGGGGTTCCCGTCAGCTTCATTAACGAACTAGGACTTATCGCTAAAGAAGCATTGCTGAAATCCATAGAAAAGTGCTTACAGGAGAAGGAAATACCAGGCACTTGGCGGAAAAGTAGAGTAAGTGATTAAGACGATAACCTGTTTGTTCTTACTAAGTGTATAGAATTATTTAAAAAAGAAAACAGGCCCTTATACGTAGCTTTTCTGGACATCACTGGGGCGTATGACAACGTTAATCAGGAAATTTGGTGAGATATTGAAGGTAGTGGCCATAGATGACGACTGTGTACAACGTTTGAGAGAAATATACTGAGAAAATACAGTTTGCATAGAAGCAATATGAGTGACAATGTCAGCGTCTAAATCAGCAAGGGACTCAAAAGGGATGTCTATTGTCCCCACTGTTATTCATGCTGTGCATGATGAGGATGGAAAAAGTGCTAGAAGGTAACATTGGGTTTATTCTGTCACACAAACAGGCTGGCGCAATGGTTGAGAAGAATCTTCCAGGTCTATTTTATGCAGACGATATTGTCCTATTTGCGGATGAAGACGATAGCGGCTAGCTGATATATGCGGAAGGCGAGGCTCTAAGACTAGAATTTA